GGACCTCTAGAAACTTCACTAATGTGGCAGGACTCTGAACTTTTATGGGGTTCTTCTTCTATTATCTGGCATGCATGTGTCTTATTATGGCATCTAGGGAACTTGGCGACATCCTGCTTACCATATCCAGTCAGTACAATGTTGTTGTTGTTAGGTGCCGTAGAGTTGGCTCCAACTCATAGCGACCCTGTGTATAACAGAACAAAACATTGTCCAGTCCTATACCTTTCTCACAATAGTAAGTGTGTTTGAGCCCATTGTTGCAGACATTGTTTCAATTCATCTTATTGAGGGTCTTCTTCTTTTTCAAATAATGGACTAGTATGAAGGTCTTCCTCTTTTGAAAGTAATGAGCCAATATGATTTTCTGTGGGATATGAAAGTAATAAAGGTCTTTCCACACCACATTTTCACAGAAAATAGAAGAGTTGACAGCCCTGAAGTAAGACAGGGTGTACTGTTGTCTCTGCCATGTGAATGCAAACTGTTTCTGATTGCCTTTCCTGATAAGAATGGAAAATAAAGCATTTTCTAGATCAGTGTTGTCTAGTAGAAATATAATACGTAATTATGTTATTTAAATTTTCCTAGTAGCTACATTTAAAATGTAAAAAGAAACAGAGTTGAAATTAGTTTTAATAATGTATTTTATTTAACCCAATATATCCAAAATATTATTTCAATATGTAATTAATGTAAAAAGTCATTAGTGAGAGATTTTATATTCTTTTTTCATATTAAGACTTCAAAATCCAGTGTATATTTTGCTCTTACAGCACATCTCAGTTTGGACTAATCATGTTTCAATTGCTCAATAGCTACACGTGGCTAATAGATACTATACAGGGCAGTGAAGTTCTAGATCAATGGTGCATACCAGGTGCCAAGGGCGTTACTGATTTGTTTTACTAAAGATAGTATATCAGGAACCAGAGCTGCAATTATCAACATCACTTGACCAAGTTTAGGATAAACTACAGTTATTCTCCAAGATCCATCCATTTGTCACAGGACAAATAGGCACATTAAATGAGGAAGAGACACCTCTGCATCTTTCAAGTCCTTGATGGAGGTCTTAATCTCTGAAATTCCCCTAGGGATGCAGAATTGGTTTTGGTGCACTTTTTTGGAAGGGGTAGGTAGTTCCAGGGTCTTCCACTGGGCCATTCTTACCAAAATAACCTTCACTTCACAGCTCAGGGAATCAATGCAGAGATTCTGCCAATTGCTAAATGTATTTATTCCCACTATATATCCTGAGACTGAGGAAATTACCACAAAATGAGTCCACAATCCCATTGGACTACTGAACGACCAACAGGGGCCACTACTCCATTTATTACCTTTACCTGACATCCATAAGTTCTCACTCTGATGGTGACCACAGTGGTGTTTGGGGTCTTTAGAGACTAGCCTGTGTTCAGAACCAGTTTCTAATAACCCTCAGAATGTTTGTGTATACCCTTTTCCCCCAGCACAAGCACCTTTGTAAATGGCTACAGATCCTTCTGGGGAAGACTTAGAGGAAGATTCACTGTGTACAGCTTAAGGCCA